CTCAGGTACGCGAGCGAGACCTGCCCTTCGTGATGCACACGTTGGCCACCGAGTTCACCATCCTCAGGGTAGTGAATGGGGAGACGGTGGCTGCTGACAACCTCGGGATAACGAACGGATTTGTCAAGCCAAAATTGGGTGAGGACCTGCATTGGCCATCCCTGCTCGGTGCTGCGGTAGGGAATCAAGTCTCTGTGGTTACAGTGGAGTGGAGGACCAGGGGAGGGGGGGGCGCGTCGTAACTCTATTCCTCAAACTTTTTGTTGAGCAATCACTCTCTGTCGTGCGTGTAAGCCCTGTTTCAGCCCCTGCTTGAGTCTGCTTCTCTTTGGAGAAGCATATAAGCAGATGCTGTTAACGTCAGTGAGAACTGAGTGTGCTTTGCTGAACTGGGCCTTGGCACTCAGGAGCCTGCTGTGCAACACTGCTTTTCTTCTACCTGTAGGTATCCAGAGATACAGAATTAGCAAGACAAAAAAAAACCAGAAAGGCCCTTGGGGAAGAGTAGAGCCGTGATGTTGGCCTCACATTTCTAGCATAAACGACGCATTTCTCATCTCTGGTTCCAACGCTAATGCATTTCTAAGTTTACTTGAATACTTCCTGGGGACTGCAGTGACTAGCCCATGAAAAATATCACTGTTATTTAATATTTGTGTTTTAGTAGCAAGCTGGGGCGAGGCCACATTATGCTAATAAAGATGATCCTGACTTTGAGAGGTTTCCAGTCTACCCCATCGAATATGCTGCACGCCTTCATGTCTTATTCAGGGTGAAGCCATGGCAGTCTGTCCTCTGTTAGATGTGGGGCAGGGGTGCAGGAGGCTGTTCAGCACATCTCAGCACAAGAGGGATAATTTGACTAGGAGTGGCTGTGGTGATGGCGGGTGGTGTTATTTCCAGTGTGCCTGTTACCGTAGCGTGTAGACACTATGTGCCAATTTAGAAGAGGAATAGTCAAGTCCAAGAGGCTCTTTTCCTTCTCCCACTCCCACTCAGTGGCTTCCTAAAGGAAACTGGCCAGGACCTCCCTGCTATCCAGTTACTTGAGGAACCCTTCCTATCAAGAGTGGATGTCACTGGGCCTTAACAAGTCAAAAACTCAGGCCTAGCCTGATCTCTACTTGAACCAAACTCCAAAGCAAAGAGCCTGGCCCCAGGAAAGCTCTGTCTTCTTCCAGACCTTACAAAGGTGGCCACTCTGGTCTGTGGCTATTGGAGTTGCATTGCTAAAAGAGATATGTGGTGGTTTGTGAACCTGATACCAAATAGGCTTTACACTCGTGTCTCTCTTTCAGTTCAGAGGCCCGTCATTCATCCCCTTTCCAGTCCGAGTAACATGTTCTGTGTCACCAGCCTGGATCCAGATACCCTTCCCACTGTCGCGACACTCCTAATGGATGTCATGTTCTACTCCAATGGGTATGTTAAAGCTGGCAAAGCAACACACAGTGCTGTTTCTGGGTACACCTAGATTTTAAGGATGCAAAAATGTGTCACTGTCTTAAAGGCAAGAATCCAGGGCTGGGCTCATGCAGTATAATGCTGCTGGGCTGCTTCTGGGATGCATCCTTGGGCTGACATCTTCAAAGCTGTGTTAGAGCAGTGGTTTTCAGCTTGTGGTCTGCAGACTCCTGGGTGCCTGCAAACTTAGAGGGGTCTGTGAAACATGACTATGATCAATCAAAAGTATGTGAATACCTACACTTACAATTCAAAGGCGTCCGCACCTCTATTTAAAATGTTTTAGGGGGTCCGCAAGTGAAAAAACCACCGCATTAGAGTTTAGGGTGCCCAATCCCCATTAACAGATGTCTGCTTCCTGTTTAGCTGGGTTTGCAAAGTAGTAATACAGCCTTTAAGCAGCAGCCTAGCAATGCCAGTTCCTGCCAGAAGATGGCATGGGCACATTGCAATACACTGGCATCACATCGCGACAAGTTTTGTAAGCCTGGCTTGGATGGCACTGGACTTCTGCAAAAGTGGGGCAATCCAGGGAACAGCTAGACTTTGGGGGAAGACACTTTTTCTCCAGACCAGCATGATGAAATAACACCTTTTTCTCTGGAAGGAGCAAGGGCATTAGGCTATGTAAAACGCTTGCAAAAAACAAAAAGGAGAAAGGACATAACTAGGTGGAACTCGCTCTCTCTCAGAAAAATGGGGGCACTGAGTCATCTGGTTTCAGTGGCTGTGTCTTCTCTGAAGGGTTGGGATGTTCATTATCCATTGGGCTGCGGGTAACTCTGTTGTGTTATTTTTTTTTCAGAGTAAAAGACTCAGTGGTGGGAAGCGAAGACTCTGGACACATTCGCTTTTTCTCCTTCTCTCTCATTGAGGGTTACATCTCCTTGGTGATGGATGTACAGACACAGCAGAGGTGAGGCTTCATGACTGGCTTCAGCACGGGGTGGGACCCCAACAAAGCACGAGTCAACTTTTCAGAAGTATCTCGGTCCCCATTTTCAAAAAAGACTTGAATGCTCCAGTCCTATTAAAAGTCAGCGAGACCTGGACTCCCAAGTGCCCAAGCCATCTGAGAATGACCGTGGAGCTTATTGACTAGAAACCTAAGAAAAGCTTACCCTTCAGTTTGGGAGCAAGAAAACCTTGAAAATCTTGTGGGTAAATTCTCCAAAGAACGAGAGCAGAGTAGGGGCTTCACATCCGTGCAGCGCTCACTTGGTCTACTTTTCATTGGGATAGTAATGCAATGAATTGTGCCCAGTGCTGCAGGAGCTCACGACACTGTTTGACAGGCCCAGCAAATAGTCAGGTGGGAAAATATTATTCTGAACTTTTGTGTTCAACATTGTCTCACGGATTGGAGTGCCCTTTTCTCTGAGGGGCTGGAGACCATATGGGAAGGTGTGTCCAGGTGCAATTTGCGGCTTGCAAAGTGTTTGTTAACCATCTTAAGACCTGGTTTTGCAAGCTCCTTTAGCTTCCTTTGACTAAGCAGCCCCTCTGGTTTGTGGGATCAAGCTCTGGGAAATGGGAAGGATGATCTAAATTGCAGTTAGGACTGATGGTCAGTTCCTTACTCAAGCTCAGACTGCCTGAGTGACTTTGGACAAATCACATAAGCTCTCTGGGCCTTAGTTTCCCATGTGTAAAATGGGCATAATAGTAGCATTGCCCAGCCTGACAGGGACGTTGTGAGAATAAACCAGTGCAAGAGGGTGAAGTGGTCAGATGCTGCTGCAATGGTAGCCACATCTTGTCACAGGCCAGCTGGGCACTGTGAGTATATCAGTTTAGTTGCAGACTCACTGAGCAGTGCAACTTTATTAGCCACTGGGCTTTTTGGTTCGGGATCGAGGAGGTGACGTTGGGAAGGAAAGCAATGACAAGTTTTTCTTATAAAAAAGAATAATTGTTACTTATAACAACAAAAGATATAGTTTACACATATGACAGTTAGTAAAAAGTTTAAGCTAATAAACAGATAACATAACAATACAAGTTAAAATTGACAGTGAACAGACAAAGAAATTATCCAAGAGTTCCCACTTGGTTAGCAACTTATCGATAGTCCCTCAGTTAGAAGATGCACGTCAAGTTGATTCAGTGAAGTCAGGCGTCCCCGATTCACGCTCTCAGAGGGACAACCGGAGGGAAAGTCCCTCAGTCAGGATCTGGTCCTCGCTGTCACAGGGAGTAAGAGAGATCTGTGGGGCATGGGACAGCAATGACCCTTCTGTTCAGTCCTTCCCTCAGGGTTACTTAACGTACGTGTTCTTTTATATCCTGTTTATGCTAATTTTTTTGGTTACATAGCCATTCATAGTGTTACTTTATCTTACGGGGTTAAAAGGTGTTAGAAATCATTATAACAAGTTACTGCCCAAGCTTGGGTTACCCAATAAGCAAATCACATCGCATTACTTTGGGATCCGAGATTAACATGCCCACTGTGTTAATTATACCTTATGATTACGTTCATTAATTTTTACTGACTCAAAGCGAAATTTCATAAATCAGCTACGTCTGCAGTTATAATCTTGAGTTCTGCTTTTTAAAATTCATGCTGTCTGAAGATTAGTATAAAAAGCTATATATAAATCTTGCGGGTTATACTCCAGACAGACAGAAAACTGCTCCATAAGCTATTTCAGATATCTTCAAAAAGCAGATTTCTCTTTGTTATAAGTTGCTCTTCTGGTTCTGGCCATCACAACATCTAAGACAAAGAGATGGGGGAAGCAGCTTCTCCCCCCCCTGCGGTTCCAAAGCACGAGTCTCCTGGGGCCCGTGAACTGATTGATTTCTAGTTTTGCATCATCAAAACACAGGATCTTTCAGAAAGGCCCTTTCTGTCTCTCTTCCCAGAACAGCCCTAACTTGGCTTCCAAAGTGTACGTGCAGTGTTTTCAGTAGAAATGCATGAGGGGAAAAGACAGCCAAATCTATGTTGGTCACCTCATTTCTGGTCACGTTCATTTCTTGCTGCACCTTGTCTGTTCCAAGCAGCGTGGAGATATAGGCATGGAAGTGCCCAATGAGGCAGCAAGCAGTGGAGGTGGGACCGTTTTTAATGGCATGCTTTCATCATTTTTTGCAGGTTTCCTAATAACTTGTTGTTTACGAGTGCATCTGGAGAACTCTGGAAGATGGTTCGGATTGGCGGACAGCCCCTCGGCTTTGGTACGTAAGCAGATGGAGAAGCAGCTGAGCGCAAATGCCGTGATGTTCACGCCTCCTGGATAATGGGGAAAAATTGGGTTATCAGAGTCTGGGGTGTCCCCCCCCATAAGAGTCTAATTCCAACTAGATCCAGTTAGACCTCCCAAATGCAGTCTCAGCTCTTTGAAAATGTTGCGCATCCCTCATTTCTTGTCAGCCTCCAGTGGGGTAGACCTAAGTTGATGTAGTCTAAGCTGATGTAGGGGTGACTCCATAGCTTCAGTGGCTTGAGTACAGACAGAGAGCGGCACGTGGAGCCGCAGAAGTGGCCCTCTACGCCCTATCAGCTGCCCACGTTGCCCTTGAGAGCGGCAAAAATGGCTTTTGCCAAGTGGCTCAGTGAGGAGTGCTGCAGAGGAAAAGCCCAAGATTTTCTGCAAATGGCTCGCTTTGAAAAATCAGGCCCTTTTACAGTGCCTTCAAAGTTTGGACTGCTCAGAAACAGCGACCCAGGATCAGTAGTCACTTTTGAAAAAATTGGACCCTTTCATTTTGGTACCTGGCCTCTAGCAGCAGCCGGGTCAGCAATAGCCAGCATAATCAGAGCCCAGGACTGAGCAGAACTGGTTGTTTGCAGAGCCCCTGAGAGTTGCATGCAGCCAATTGAAGGCACATCCGTAATCTCACGTGAGTACGGTGCACTGCCTGCTGTGAAGACTGGTCCCAGTTTCCTTAACTAGACAATACCAAGAGCCGTTCAACATCTCCTTTATGGATGCAGGTCAACACGTGATGAGGGAAGGAGGAAAATGGAGTCAAAGGCATCAAAAGGAGGTTTTGAAGCATTCTCGCACGCTTCTCAGGAGTGACTTTCGTCACGCTGGTTGAAAATCATCCTGGCTGTTGTTCTGTTTTTCGGTATTTACGTTGAGTTGTGAAGGGGAGGAGGCGCGCTGGTGATAGACTGTTCTCTGTGTCCGGGGAAGAAAAGTTCGATTGGCTAATAGGAAAAATCCCTCGTGACGAGGGTTGAGTACTGGAGCAAACTCCCTAGAAAGGCCTAATCACTGAAAGATTGGAAGTGAGGGTTGGACAAATGTTTGTCGCGAGTGGCTCATCCAGAGATGATCCTGCTAGGGCAGGGGGCTGGAGTACATGAGCTCTGGAGGCCCACTCATCCCTCTCTGTCCCGGCTTCTACATCACTAGTGCCGAAGGAGGCTGATTTTGCAGACCTTCCCTGCAGGAAAGCTCCCAGTTCCCTGTAGTGGGGAAAAAACGAGATGCTGCTATAGACAGTTGCTGGGCATGAGCGAGGGATCCAAGCAGCGCCTGCCCAAACCAGCCCAAGCAGGAAGGCTGCTCGGGAGCCCCGCTTAAATGCCAGTGCTTGCTGCCTCCGTGTAGGTCAAAGAGCTTTGGCGGTGGAAACTGAGGAGGCACGCTGGCTGCTGTGCCGCTTTCATCTTTAATCGTGCCTCGAGCAGTGCTGCTTTAAGATGTTCCTTCTCAGAGGCCAGTTTTTGTCTCAGCTGCAAACATGTGCCTTGCAGCTGAGTTGTTAAACAGGCCATAAATGGTCAGGGAGCCAGTGGAGCACATGTGGCTTTGTGCCTCCTGGTGCATGCGGGGAAGGAAAGCTCCTTGTTTGTGGAAAATGAGCTGGTCCAAGTAGCTTAATCAGGCAGCCACTTGGAGGCGAAAATAGAAAGGGAGAAGAGAACGATTGAAGCCCTCCCAAGCCAGTGGAAAGGGGGAGAAGGGCAGAAACCGGACTCTCCTGCTGCAAGACCTACACCATGTTACTTAGTGCGTACAAAGCACGAAGTAGCCCAGAGTAGTTGTGATCCTGCTGTAGGATGCTGAGGAGGTGCTTTGTCGTGACGCTGTCAACCACCAAAGCTCGTTCCCTAGTTCTTGTTTTTCTAGGGCATTGTAGACATGCTGAGAAGCCGGGGCGAAGTGGTCCGTAGGTCGCTGCCTCCAAACACGTGTGGCCTTGTTTTGTGATTTGTCTTTGGGGAGGCCAGGCAGCAGGTGCCAGGGATGGTGTCGTGAGGGACTCTGTCATGTCAACGCGCTTCTGAGGCTCCTGCTTTGATGCGATTGTCGAGCCGGCAGGGTCTGTAGAGGTGGCGGTCCGCGTGGCTCCTGGTTCTCCTCCCTGTCTACTGTGGCTTGCTAAAAGCAACAGAAAGCAGGTTTTGCACATAAGTGGTGGCTGCCAATCGCCACACTTGTGTTACAGGATTACTAGTCGTGGAAAAGAGGCTGTATGGGAAAAGCCAGAGGGGATCAAGCAGCAGGCGATGGGCAGGAATAGGGATTTCTGCAGGGCCCAGTGTTAAGGTTGGGTCTGTACAGGTAGGCACGGCGAAGCCCCTGCGCCTGCCACACGAGGAAGGGGTCATTGGCTTCTGAGAGCGTGGCCCTCTGGCTCCGACGTGTACATAAGTGTGTCCACAGAATAATTCAGCCTCTGACTTACTTAAGATGCTTGTTACAGGAAGTAAATGAAATACAAACAGAAATGCCCATTGCCTTAGGTGCTTCACCCAGACACTGATGGGACGCAGCCTCATCTGCTTTGGGTCCAAGAACTAGCCAAGGATTGATCTGGATTCTGAGGCCAGGTCAATAGACCTGAGGGGTTATTTGCAGAACTGGAAACTGCATCGACTCATCCTCAACATTTCTGATGCCTTTTCTTGCTCAACACAATGGCTGGAGGGGGTGTGAGCTGCTTCCGTGCTGGTGCTAGATATTTCGTTGCGATCCTTCTTCATCGGTTTTGCCATGCTATTGGATATCTGTGTCACATTCTGGACCCCTTTGGCTAATTGCAGTCATCGAGTGAGTCACCCCACAAGAGGGAAGTCCCACACTTCCTAAGGCTCCCTATTTTCTATAGACATTTTATACGGGAGTCTTCGCACCTTAGCCCAGAGGTAGGCAATTATTTGGGCCCGAGGGCCACTTAAGGAGTTTGGATCAGCAGCTGTGGGCCAGGTCAGCACTGCCACTTCCCCTGCTCCTCCCCAACGTCTCACCAAAACTCCCTATTGCTCTGTGAGTGGGTAGGAGTAGAGTGGGAGGGGCAGAAGAGGCTGGGGTCACATGGTCCTGCCCTCTGGGGTACAGGTACATGTGCTCGCAAGCCATCAGGTGGTGCTGTACACCCCCTGCCCACCACCTCGTTTCATAGATTTCATAGACATTAGGGAAAACCACCGGGTCCCTCCTGGCTGCGAGGATAGCGTCTACAAAAGTTGACAGTGTCTCAGGGGAAGCTCCCGGGGGTGCCTCCATCTCCAAGCCCACTTTCGGCCCGTTGCAGGCAAGGCCTTTGCCAATGGGCGAGGCTCCACTGTTCGCCGTGGCGCTGGCTCCTTGACCGTAGCCGGGCCACCTGAGTGGCAGTGCCGAGGTGAGTCGGGCTAGGTAGTGCTGGGTACGCCTCGCTGTTGAAGAGCTCTGCTTGAGGCTGTGACTTCTCCTCTGTGTCTCCCACAGATGAATGTGGAATTGTCGCTCAGATTTCTGAGCCCTTGGCTGCTGCTGACATCCCGGCCTATTACATCAGTACTTTTAAGTTTGATCATGCATTGGTAAGTAGCCTGGTAGCTCTGCTGGGGTATTGGGGAGGTGGCACCTTTCCCCATTGCGTTGGGGAAGCATTGTTCTATCTTGTTACAGCTGCTTTTGTACAGTATAGCCAAAAGCTGGGGGGCAGATATCTTTTTTTTTAGCTCGTCTTGTTGCAGACAGGCTACACTAAATTCAGTGCACGACAGAGGGCACAATGCATTGAGGTCTAAGTGCTGGGGTGGGGTGTCTGTGTGTGGGGAGGGAGGGTAGACAGTAGGCATATGGATCGAAAGGTGTTGCTAGTCTATTTTCACTTCTACCATTTGCAGCAGCTCCCATATTGTCACTCATTGTCGCCCCCCCCCCTCCTTTTTTTGCATTGTGAGCAGTGCCTTTGCTGCTGCTCAGTGTCAAGTAGCCAGAACCACAAACCCTGTAAACACACAAGCAACAGATGACAGGCAGCTGGACTGTAGTTCCCCCAGGCCAGCCTATGCATGTACCCAACTGTGAATGTCTTTTGTCTCAATTCTTGCAAATGCGGCGTAGTGCTGTGAGCAGTTTTGTCTTGCCAGTGATACAGGTCCTACCCCACTGTCTCTGCACATACAAACAGCTGTTGTGCCCTTGCCTCTGGGGTTTTCAGAGCTCCCTTGTTCTTGGAAAAGCCTGCACCCTGGCACTTCCCCTGCAGCCACAGACAGGATCAGGAAGGTCGCTGTTGGCACATGAACCATAGAGGAAGCTGATCTGCCCACATGCTTTGCCCATTTAGAAACAATCCTCTCCTGCGGTCTCAAAGTGCTTGAAAGCCCTTTGTGTTCTTTGCCACAACTCTTATGTTCCAGGCTGCATCTAGGGGAAGTACCCCATTGCTTTACACCCCCCCAGCCTAGTTGCTCCAGCTCTGATCCGCTTTGTGGAAGTGTTTGCACAGAGCATCCTGACTAAATGAGAGTTTCTTAGCACAGCCCTGTGTACACACTCTCAGGTGGGCCAGGCCAGTAGCATAACCTAACAGGGTGCAGCAGCCTCGGGTGTCGACTTGCAGGGAGCAGCATGCAAAAAATAACAGCTGTCACAACTGCTGACTGGTCAGCACAAAACTGCCGTTACACCTCCAGTTTTGCATGACATCACTACATACTTGGTTCCCTGGCCTGACTTGCGACCTGCTCACAGCTCAGATTCCCTTTTTTTTTTAAAACAAAAAAGCCAATTACTTTACATGTTTGCAGTTGGCAGGTACCATTTACAGCCCAGAAGGCCTTTGTGTGCAGAACAAACTTAAACATTGCTCCAGATAGGGAAGGTCAGGGTGCTATATAGATGATAAGCTAAGCCAAGGAGCTGGAAGTGGCCCTGGATAGTCATTTTGCTGGGTGCGATATGCAAAGCGCTTAAGTGTAAACAGAAATCCAGTTACGCTTTGGCAAGTAAATTGCAACAAACCTAACAGTGCCTTTCATTGGGTCAGCTGCAAGGGATATTAGGCAAGCTTTTGGGCACAAAACCACCCATCCTCAGGTCTGGGAAAGGGGCAAAGGTAAATTGAGTGATAACTTTTGAGTAACGCTATTCTGGAAATGGAAGTTGCTTGCTAAAGGAGAAAGAGGACTGTAAGATGAGAGTGAAGAGCAAGGGGAGGTAGTTGAATCCCATAAAGCCATTGAAAAAGGAACAGGGATCTGGATACCTTTAAAGTACAGAGCAATTAGGAGAGGTGAATTGTAATGAGACACAGAACTCTTCTCTCTGTTTAGTCTGTAGTTTTTAGTGACTAGTCAAGTTATGATTCTGTTTGCAACCCCAGCTTCCAAAGCTAGTTGGGTAGGTTTTCCTTGAGTACAAGAACCAAGATGAAAAAGTGGGTCAGTCAGAAGCAGTCTCCCACTGGAGCCTGGGTGTCCTTGCTGTTTCAGGAACATGCTGGGTGGATGCAGCTGGTGACAACATTAGTTTACTGCAGTCATCTTTAGACCAGGCTAGGCCCTTCTCCCTACTGTTAAGCTCAGTTTGATAGCTTGCAGGATTATAAAAGTTTCCACGGTATGTGTAGTTGTGAGAACTTAACATTTAAGGCTTTGAGCTACTGTGTGTGTATTCAACAAGCCCAAGGTGAGCCTTTGGAGACCAAATGGTGTGGTGCGCACTGTCTGCCTAACATATGGAATGGGTGATGGGAAGTATATAAACGGGTTACTGTTAAAACCTAGGATGCAGCTATTTGTGTAGAGCTATAGTGTGTGAATATAGGAGCACCTGGCAATCCAGAGCTTGGGCAGAAGAGGGTGCTAGCCAGATGTATTAAGTGGAAGCTTGAAAGGAGGAAAAGGTTTAGCAATAACATTCGAGGAGAAAAGAAACGTGAACAAAGTAAGAGAGAGATGAATGTACAAACAATTTGCAAACAGCAGAGCACGCACTGATGAAATAGAGAAGCTAGGAAAGAGGGCTGGCTGAAGTGCCAGGTGCTGGGAAGCTAACCAGCTGCAAACTTCTGAAATACTGCCAGAGCTTTCTTAGTCCTGTGCACCTGGCCAGACCCACTGTGACCTGAACTGGAAGTCCAGCGTTGCTCATTATCTATCATACTAGTTCCCGTCTGAGTAACGGGTGTTCACTTGGGATCCTGGTTTTCTGTTTAAAAATCCCAAATTCTATGATTAAAAACCCCCAAATGCGCTATTAAAACAAAACACCATAGCTATAACATGTAAAAGAGCCGTAAATTCTCTGACTTAAAAACAAACCCAAAATCAGCATTTTTTCCACCATGAAAATGAAATGCCACTATATATAATTCACTGTATATAGTGGCATTTCATTTTCATGGTGGAGAAATGCTTTGAGTGTTTTTTTAAAATCAGAGAATTTACAGCTCTTCTTTTT